AAAAAAAGAAACTACTTGATGTCTTCCGCTGCCAGTATAAACAACTTGCGGAGTCCGCTGTCTCTGCCCTTCAAGACTAGATTGTGAATGATGATAACTTCTTGATAAAGTTCCTTGACCTTGAAATGAATGCAGTTGCAACTTTAGATGTTTTTAAAGGATGTAAGGGTCACTTGGTTCAGCAAAAATTACACAAAAATACATGCAACGTTACGCAACATACTTTCTTCGGAAGACGGGCCGTAGCCGACAACAGAAGCCAGTATCGGCTTGGCACGACCAACAACAATAGGTCTACGGCTTTCAAGTTCCAAGCGTCGCAATTCATCGTCGTATGAAGATACAGAATGACGTGCTGGAGTCCGACTGTGACGCAGTGATACTGAGCCGTATGTGCTATCTGTTTGCAGAAAATGCAACAACGATCACAACCACGAATATAAACAAAATTGAGCACAAGAACTAAACAGATTCTAACAACAATTATCGACGCTCTCTCACGCACTGTGTAGATGTTTAGGAATTAATCACATGACAGAGGTGGATATGACAACTACGTAGAACTGCTGAACTCTAAGGCATGCTATGATTCTCTATGATGCTAGAATTTTTAGAGGATTGTAGAAAAAAAACTGGATAAGTCAATTTCATTCAACCATACCTTGTAAGGCGTGATATCGCGGCGGTGGAGACTCAACTACTTCTGGTCCAGCCAAGTGCTTCATGTCTACTACAGAAGCTCCAATCCCATTTACCATATAATCCGATGCTGAAATCAAAATACATGGTTGAAGAGCAGTCAAATTCAAACATGGTCACTTACGTCCCCCACGGATATGATTACCGCTAGGATGGTCGATCCAAAGATCAGCACCAGGCTGTTGAGTGCTGGTCTTCTTCCCAGCCGTGTATCCACTTTTATTCTTAGAGCTCCTACAAAAAATAATTACATTTTGCTAAAGCTACTGTCCTACAAGAAACGCTGAAGATAAGGCAGTTAAGAAAAGAAGCAGAACAGTGGGGATTTTTCACACATGTTTTGAGATGGATATTACTATAGCCTTTCGGAATTAAATTTTCACATTATGCATTTTGTGCTCTCCAAAACGCAAAAAAAA